GACGCGACGGGCGGCGGCAGGCGACATACGCGCGCGCCTGTTTGGAACGGCGCCCGCATTGCCCGGCCCGCCCCGCCTCCGCAGGCTCGCGTGGGTCATCATTGGGCCCAGCGGTAAGCGCTATGCAGCGGCTGATGTGCCTTCGTCGATCAAGCGGTGGACGAAGCACCGCAAGACGCAGGCGGGGGCGCCCCGGCCACGCGTAGCCTGGCGGACAGCCCGCCGTGTTGCGAAAGGTCGCGGCATGGGAACTCGTCGCGGCCGTTTGCGCCTTGCATCATTTGCTCGCGACGCTGCGCGATGCGGAAATCGTGTTGTTTGTCGATTCGAAGGCGCGGCCGGGCGCGGGTCGCCGAGCTGCCCGTGCGATGCTCCGCTGACCGCGCCAGGCCGCGCTCGGGGTGCTCCTACGCGGGACCTCGCGCCAGGCAGATTATAACGCGCTCGTGGCAGATATTTGGTTCGCAGCAGCGACCGCGCGGTGCCTCCTGAGCGCGTGGTATGTGCCATCCGCGCTCAACGTGGCAGACGCCCCTACGCGGCCCGCCACGAAGGCGGCCGCGATTGCGGCCATGCACCGCGAGGGCTTCACCCGAGTGGCGTGGCCATGGCCCCGCGCGGCGCCCTGGCATTCGCGCGGGCATGCATAGCAAGTAGCACAGGGCAATTTGTAGGGGGCGCAAAGGCTTGCGCGGCGAGCGCGTGACGACCAGGCCCGCCGCGAGAGGGGGCCCGCGGGCGCCATGCTTGCGTGCTTATCACCCGCGTCGCGGTGGACGCCCGAAAATGATTCGCATCCGGTAGGCGCGGAAGCTCTGCAGTGTCTGACATCCATGCTCGCAGCCGAAGGAGCGGCGTATCCCCCCGACCTGTCCGGATTCACGGCGAAGGAGACAAGGGAAGTGTTCCCGTGCCTCCGGGAGTGGTCAGAGTGCTTCACCGTGACGCTTATTACTCACGCGCGTAAGCTGACCCACGAAAAGGCAAAGCGGCCCCGGGAGGACGATGCAGCGGTATCGCTCTCCCAGGTCGAGCGCGCGCGCGCAACTCCGCCCCATCCGGCGGAGCAAGCAAGGCCGGCCGCCGCCCGCTGACCCGTGGGCGCGAAGGCGGCGGAAACGTTACTCGAGAAAGCGGCCAAGTGCCCGGCACCGGCACCGGGCTTGCGCGCGAAACGCCGGCCCGGCGGGGGTTTGACGCCTCAAGAAGCCCTCGCGTTGCTCTCAGCGGCAAGGCAGGCACGGCAGGCACCACCGCGCGGCGCCACCGTCCTCGTGCACCGCGCGCGGCGCGGAGGTACCAGCGCCGCCGATGCTGGCAGAGGCAATCCGCCAGCTGACGAAACTCCAGGCTCCGCCCGCGATATTCATAAGCGAAGGCGGCATTCCGCGGGAGGTGCGCGCGAGGCAGGACATCGGCGTGCGGCGGGTGCCAGGAACACCTCGTCGGCGCGCCGAGGAATTGCGGGTGTCAGGAGCAGGACTGGAGTGCATGCGCCGCATCCAGATGGCCGCGCTGTGGCGAGAATTCCACGCGTGGAAGCTCTCGGCATACCCGTATGCCTCGGCGGTGGAGTTGTACGGCCAGGCGTGCGATGCGGCAGGCGTCCCGCCCTGGCCGCCGTGCGCCATCGCGCGGGACATGATGGTGGCGCTCTGTCGCCGCCTGGGGACCCTGTCGAACTATTTGCAGGGCATTCGCTCAGTCCTGCATCTGCTCCGCGCAGACACAGGGTCTTTGGCGGACACGCGGACCCTGGTATTCGGTGCCCGAAAGGTACGGCCGCCGCGCGCGTCGGCCGCGAGCCCATGATATCGGCGGCAGGCGGAACCGCCTGGTGCGCAAAGATTTCGTGCGCGCGCCACGGCCGAAAACGTGCGCGCGATGTCGGATTGGCTGCGCGAGGCGCGGCCGCGCGCTCTTCGAACTAAGCGGCCTGCCGTGCGTGCCGGCCCGCGGGCCTGGCGTTTGGCAGATCGGACGCGGCGATATGGCCGACGCTTTCGTCATATGCTGGCAGTTCTGCTTGCGCTTCGGCTCCGAAGTAGTGGGGCTGAATGCGCCTGGGCATAGTGCCGTCTCGCTCCACGTAGACGTAGGAAAGCACCAGGTGCAGGTGCAATTCCGCCAGCGGAAGGGGAGAGTGGCTCCCGACCCGGCGGGCCGAGCGCGCGCGCGCGGCGGGGCGCGCCCCGGGCTCCCCGCATCGCGAGGTCTGGAGGGTATGCGTATGCCAGCTCCAGGGCAAACGATTGTGTGCGGTCTGCATCATTCGGCATTCGCTCCGGCCCGGCGAGCAGCTCCTGCCGGGCGTCTCTTACGTGGACGGGCTGGCTTGCGTCAAGCTCGCCGCTGCCCACCTCGGGCTCCATAGGGCATTGGAGTGGGGGGCGCATTGCTTCAGGCGCGGCGGGGCCGACCAGGCATGGGCTCCCCTTGCCGTCCCCTGCCTACCCAGGGCCCGCGCGCAGTTCGTGTCTCTCGCACGCAGGCACTCCGCACCGGGGGGCCAGCAGCGCTGTTCTTCGAAGGGGGTTGGAGATCTGTGGCCGCGTTCGGGCACTCCATTCCGACAGGGGGCACGGCCGCGCTGCCTGGGTCGCGAGGGCGCGGCGCTTGGCGGCGCACAGGTACCCGGCCGCAAAGACGCGAGCCATGGTGCTGGCGGCAGAAGCCGAGATCGCGCACTCCGATTCCGACGAGGCGCCGCCCTGCAGGCATCGGGGTCGGGGCTCCGCGGCGGCGCGTGGCGCGCAGGACGCGCCGATCGCCGCGGAAGCGGTGCAGGGGCCGCCCAGGCCGTGAGTCAAGCAGACCAGGCATCTGCGGTCTGCTTAGAGCGCGCTTGGGCGTCGTTCCGCCGAGCATGCATCGGGAGGCGTCGGCGAGGTTGCTCGGCTCCGCGACGCCGACTCGCGCTCACCCCACCGCCTGGCCTGGGCCTGCGCCAGTCGACGGTTGTGCCCTGCGTTAGCGCGGGCCCAGCCTCGACGCGACTTCTCATGGGCGCTCTGGGCAGCATTTGAGCGCGGGGAGAAGTCGCGCGAGCGTCGTGGCCCCTATTGGCTATCTTCTTGCTTGTCTCTAATGCTGCGGGACGGCTATTCACGGCTGAGGCGGATCCCCACCCTGCGCGCCCGCGAGCGCGTTCTCGTCGCAGGTGAATGGGATTTGTCTCACGCGTGGCCGTCCCGCTGGCGGGATGCGTTTTTCCCCACCCGCCCGACCCTGCTGCGCGAGCGCACTGGCGTCGCAGTGGCTGCTAGTTGTGTCGAGGCTGGGCTGACCCAGCGCCAGGCTTGGGGGAGGCGTCGGCGAGGTTGCTCGGCTCCGCGACGCCGACTCGCGCTCACCCCACCGCCTGGCCTGGGCCTGCGCCAGTCGACGGTTGTGCCCTGCGTTAGCGCGGGCCCAGCCTCGACGCGACTTCTCGAGTGGCGGTGGCCAGTCAGCCGAGAAAGTTGCGGGCGCGAAGGCCACCTGCGAGGCGTGCTGGCGCCGGCGGGCCGCGTGGCCAGTGCCGTCACAGTTGGTCGGGCACGATTGCTTCTCCCACTGCTCGCTCATGTCACTCGCATGGCAGCTGGAGGAAGGTGGGGTCGTTCTGAACATAGGTGTGGCCATGGCGAAGATGTCGCTGGTCCAGCTCGCAAACTTCGTCTTCCAGGCGGGCCGTGCAGCACGTTGTAGCTTGACATTTTCCCTCGTGATGGCCGAGGTGATGCGGGCAAGAGCGTCAGCATATGTTGTTGTGCCAAGGCCGTCCGTGGTAAGGATACCCATCGAATGCAGCCATGGCGTACTTCTGAAAGTGGCGTGGGACGAGATACTCTGAAGTGGGCGCCCCCTGGCGGAGGTGCTCCGAGAACTGACGGTGTAACCGAAGGAGGCGGCGGTGAGCAATTGGCTGCTCGGGGCGGTGCCTCGGAGCACTGGCCACTGGCCGCTGGGTCGGGGGAGAGCCCTTCGGTCTCTCCTGCGTGCGCGTCATGTCGACTGCCCCTCTCTGTGCTGCCACCTGCAGGGCCGTCTCAGCCCTATGGTGCCAGTGTTGCCGGCGATCCATCAAGTAAAACCGATATCGTCCAAATCCGTGTCGATGGTGCCGTCGTGAGGTGGTCCGCATTCCATGTCCAGTAACTCTCTGAGTAGTTCAACTTCCGCGTCGTTCGAGTCACGTACCTGCTTGTAGCCAGCCGTGTGGTGGAGACGGAACGCAGGCAGCTCGACATATGGTATGTTCAGCTCGCGCGTAGTAAGAGCATGGTGGTGGTTCCCAGGCAGTAGCTTGCAGCCATTGAACCGTGGTGCTGGTGCCTGAGGCGGCCCCCGAGCCAAAGCTCGTGTGGGTGCTGTCCCGACAGCCGTCGTAACTGGTGGAGTGGCGTCCGCGGAGTCATCCAGCTTCCAGCCAATCGTAAGTAAAGTATTGTACGTATCCCGCCAATTGAGGACCCCCCTGGTGATTGTAGGGTGGCCCAGGGGGCTCTTTTTTCTGGAACCAATCAGTGTGTCCGACCACCAATGCCGATCGTAGCTATGTGATCCGTAGATTGAGAAGACTGTGCATTTGGTGGTCCTGAGGCCGATGATGCGATCGCGACGGTGGCGGTCCTCGTCGCGGATGATCGTGACGCGGCCAAGCGACCTACGCCAAACAATGGCATGTCTGCCGTCTGAGGTAGGACCAGGAGGATGAGCAAGCAGCCGACCGGCACAAGTGTCCAGCAGCACGAATAAGCCACTGGGAACGTAGGTCAGGCATACGGACTTCCTGCATGCATGGAATATCCACTGACGTATCCAAGCTTTCCAGAACCTCTTCCAATATGGCCTCGGTGAGACTTGTCACGTTGATTGAGGCAACCGATAAACCTGACTCGGCTGGAAACTTGGCGACTGAGCCATGCCCCTCTCGCTGTTTACCTTGGGGACAGGGACTTGCGTTCTATCCTGTGGCGACTGTCCTACCCCTCGCGCTGTTTACCGCTTGGGTGCACCTGAGGGTAGGGACTTGCGATCTAACGCCTTCAACTTCATCCAGTGAAACGTCATAAGAGTGAAGTGGTCCAACACGCGGTCTGGACGCTGGAGTCTGTGATACATGTGAGACAAGGAGATTATGTAGAGACACCCGCGGATGACGAGGCTGCTCCAGACGATGCTGTCGGTGCCGTCGTCGTTAGGGACATCTTTGAGGTAGCAGTGGAAGTCGGCTTGGATCTCTGGCATACTTGCTTTGAAGCCGTCGTAGCACAAGCTGAAGATGAGGCCGCACCAGATGCTGCCGTCATCGTTCGAACCTTCTTGGAGGTAGCAGGAGAGGTCGATCAGGACCTCAGTCGTGCTTGCTTTGGTATTGATGGCCGAGCCCGCGTAGACCTCGCCACCGTCGTAGGATAAGCTGTGCGTTTCTTTTCCTGCCCCTGGGAGCTCCCTCCCAGGAACGGGTCCCTTCGCGATGAGGATTCGGCCGCAGGCCGCTGGCGTACAGCACGAGGACGCAGGGGGGCCCTGCCGAACATGGCCCTCGCCTTGAGCATCATGCGGTGCGCCGCCCTCCTCCCCATCTCGTACCACTTGTCCGCCGGCTCCTTGCCGGCGACCAGAGCTTGGTAGTCGTAAGTCGAGGTGTCCCCGCGTGGAATCGCAGGGTTCTTGCATGGCCTGAGTGCGCGATGTGCCGCTTGGAAGCGATGGAGTTCATTCACTCTACCACAGCGGATGCATGAGTACTTCGTGACCTTCCTTGTGTCCGTGCGCGTCGCCTGTTGCGACGACGCAAGGTCTTCGTGAGGATCGCAGTTTCAGTCGTTTGCCACGGTCAAGGCACTTCTGGTGCTCGCCATTCCGAAGTCGATCACTCCTCGTCTCGGGTGTTTTCTTGGGAGGCAACTTCCCACAGCATTCGCGCCAATGTTCGCGAGCATCGTATAACATCTGACAAGGTTTGCAATCAGGATTTGGTTTCCATCCACAGTCCTCGGTAGGGCAGTTGTAGTATCCGAAGCGTTCTGGCTTGAACGGCTTGCCCGTGTCCAGGTCGATGCCGTCGTCGATGTCCTGAGCCTCCGACAGATCAGGGATGCTCTTGTCCTTGGCGCTGGCCCCCTTGGAGCGCTTGGAAGCGGGGCTGAGGCCCGGGATGCTCCTGGCCTTCGCAACCGATGTCGGACTGAGACCATGGATACTCCGTGCTTTGCGTGGGGAAACTTCAGAAGACTCAGCCTTGTCAATGCCAAGTACACTTCGTGGTTTGCGTGATGAAATACTGGCTGAGCAATCCGACTTCGCCCCTCCGCCAGTGAAGCGTGTAGGTGTGGGTATGCCGAAGCCGCCCGCGCCTTTGCCAACTCTGGAGGTAGTGGCGTGGTCGGTGCAAGGAACATGTAGTGGTTGTCCTTGAGCGTCATGTACACCGTCCTGGACGTGGATACTCCAGTGGGCGCCACGTACATCTGCCAGGCCCCTGCTGCAGAGCGCTTCCAGATGCAGAAATTCGTCTTGGTCGCCGCTGCTGCGGCTCTTGCCATGGTCGAGGTCGCCCAGGTACTATTCACATTCGCGTTCTCCTTGCCATTCATGATCTCGGATGCCACCAATTGGCGAAGAACAGCCTGCTGAGGTCCCCCTGGCAAGAGGTCCTTCGGCGGGCAAGGCTTCGGGTTGGTCGAGAGGGCACGCGTGCTCTGGGTAGCTACACAGAAGAAGCAGTCTCCGCCACTTCCACAATTGACTTCGTTGAAGTACTGCTGCCATGGGGGAGGGGCTGGCGTCGATGCTGGCGTCGATGCTGGCGTCGATGCTGGTGGTGCTGCAGGTTCCTGAGCTTCACCGTCGGACTTGCAAGGAGGAGTTGGTGCCTTCTGCTGCGGCATCTCCTCGTCCTCTTCCTGCTTTGCTGCTGGCTGCTATGCCTGCGCTGCCGGAAGTGTGGGTCGGGCCGCTGCTGGAGTACCCCACGCCGTCGTGCCGCGACTCTGTGGTGCAGGTCTGGCTTTTCGGCGTTGTGGGGCAAGCGATGCAACGATGCCACTCGTGAACGTGCAGATCTGGTCCTTGGGCGCTCCTGCAAGGTCGGCCCTCATGAAGCAAGTGCGTTTCGTGGATCTGGTGACCCCCGCGATGTTAGTGAAGCCGCGGTCCGTAGCCCACTTCTCCACTTCTGCAGGTAGAGCCCAGTGCTCTGGGCACTTCTGGAGGACCCAACGTGGGGGGATATCTGCCTGGACGGTCTTCTCCGATAAGACGCCCAGTAATGCATTGTCCGACGGTTTGCGCGCGTGCTGGGTGGAACGTGATGGAAACTTCGCTGTGGGGGCCCGGCGTCGTCACGTGCATGTGCACCTGTTGTTTTGCAAGCACGCGTGCTCAATGCTTTTTCTTTGTGTCATGCCTGTGTCGCGGAATTTCCTTGGCTGCTTGATGACGTGGTGCACTGTTGCTCCTGATGCCGCGCCCGCTTGTGTGCATCGCAACGCTCGCCCCGCGTCCTTTTCTCTTCGTTCTCCTCCCTCGCCCCCTGCCCCTCCCCGTCCTGTCATTCCCCGGCTTCGCGTGCACACCCGCGTTGTCATGCGTCGTGAGGTTGGTGTTGGGCGGGCCCGGCGCGGCCCCGCGCGCGCAGCCGAGTGCAACGCAAGCGTGCTTGTCTGTGTCTTGTATGCGTCGCGGTCGCGCGCGGCTGTTCTGCAACGCGATGTTTGGCCCGAGCCCCCCTGCATGCTGGAGCTTAATTGCTGCCCTATCGGGAGGAGGCGGAGGAGGAGGAGGAGAAGGAGGAGGAGGTGGAGAAGGAGCAAGTTTTGTTGAGTGGAGCTCCAGACGACGCTCTCCCCCGGCAACTACGCGCCGGCAGACAGCAAACTTTTGTTTCTTTTGTCAGACAGCGTGGATCCGGCCCCGGGGGTATCCGCATATGTAGTTTAGCTAGCCCGTTTGTCGGAGAAAATGGGGCGCCCCTCACCCTCGAGCGGGCAGTGGCTGCTGTTAACAACCATGCCGTTACCAATGAGGATGGGCTTTATTCGGCTGAGTTAGATCTCTGTGAGGCACTCGATGCCCGCAGGCCGACTGAGCGGAGTGCGGTGCACATCTGGGCCCAGTACACACGCAATGCTCAATTTGTTACCGGCGTAGTAGCTAAGATCCTTCCCAACGGTAGATCGACAACCTTTTAGCGTAGATGCAGGTCTTCAGACAGCTGGGTCACTCGGCGGCCTCCTGCAGGCATTGCAAGTGGCTGCGGAAAGGTGCCTTGCCGACAGGCCCAGGCCATAGCCGCGTCTTTCAAGCTCGAAACCTAATGCCAAATCGTTGCGCTTTGGCGCTGCACTTGGCTGGCTTGGGTGACCGCGCAGATTTTTCGATCTCGGCCGTGACAGCTGAATGTGCCAGCACCACATTCGACTTGGAAATCCTTGACGAGGGAGCTGCAGCGCAGGAGTTGGGCTTTACGGTCCCAGGAGGCCGCCTTCTCATCCGTGTTTTGATATGTCAGTGGTGGGTTGTGTGTGTGTGTGTGTGTGTGTGTGTATGTTGTGTGTGTGTGTTGTGTGTGTGTGTGTGTGTGTGTGTGTGTGTGTGGTGTGTGTGTGTGTGTGTGTGTGTTTTGGTGTGTGTGTGTGTGTGTGTGTGTGTGTGTGTGCAGCATGGTTTGTTGGGACGTCGTCTGCATGGCGATTGGAGACGCGGCAGCACCTGGACCTTGGCTTGCTCGAGGAGGCTTCTAAAAGCAAGCGACAGCGCGCCTGAAAAACTAGCGCGCTGCATCTCTCTCCGCCCATATATGATTGCACGCGCGCCGTCTGGGGGCCAGAGGCAGGCTGGTGCCGTTGACCGCTCTTAGAGGGAGGGATTGGCGATTTTCCGACGTGACGGCGTCTTCGCGCTAGAATTTCGACAGCTTGGTTCTTTTTCCTACGTTACGGGGTCCTACCGTTGGAAATTCGCCAGCTGGGCTCTTTTCCGACGTTACGGGGTCTTCACGTTGGAAATTCTCCAGGTGGGCCTTATTCCGACGTTGAGGCGTTGGCTGGCGGGTTGGCTCGCGTGGCCTGGTCAAGACTTCCACGGTCTCCCTTGTGACCCACCAGCGCCCGTTGTGCTGCGCCCCCCTTGTCTGTCGACCGTGGTTGCTTGCATGGATTGGTGTACTGTGGTACTGTTTGTTTACGTTATGATCGTGCCATTCTTGTGGGTCGTTGTGCGCCGTCTTGCATCGCAGAGGTCCCTCGCTTGTGATTCGTCCATGGCTGCCATGTGCTTGCCTTGTGCCGTCACGTCCCCCCCAACGGCCGACCACCTGTCGGGCACCTCGGCTGACTTTCGCGGGCCCTGGGCGCGCCGCACGGGTGCTGTGCCTGTTGGGCGGTGCTGGTGCTGCGTGATGCCCTTGTGCCGGTGCTGCCTGTGCTGCGTCGTGCCGTGCGGTGCTGTGCTGTGCGGTGGTGTTGCTCTCCGCGGTGCCCCGCCTTTTTGCCTTCTCGACGCCCCGCGGCCCCTCGACTCGAGGCGTTGTCCCCCCTGACCCCTGCCAGCTCGCTCGGGCCTCGCTGCCCCGCTCACGATGGGAATAGACCACCGCAGCGCTCCGGTCGCGGGGCCGGCGCCGCCGCTCCCCTACTCCGTCGAGCGCGACCACCAGAGATCGGCGCCGCCGCAGTTCCCACGAAGCGGACAGGCGCCGCCGCCAGTCGGCAGCCGCGCCAAGCGAGGAGTCGCCGTTAGCTCTGACGGAGGTTGCGCCCGACAGCGCCGGCCTCGCCCGGCATTCCCCGCCGCCGGGTGGCCTCGGCCCGCTGCCGGGAGACCCTGGCGCCCCCGTGGTTTGGATTGGCGCGCCCCCTCTGCGCGGCTACGCTTTGTCGCCGAAGTCCGCCTCAGCCGCAGGCTGGCCGCCCGTGCCGCCCAGCCGCTTCCACGTCGGGCTGCCTGCGCCCAGCTCAGCACCAGGGGCTCGGTGCCGCCCGCCACGGCGCCCTGTCGCCCCGGAGCTGTCACCCCTGGTCCCGCCAGGGCTGCCCGTCGACAGCCCCCCGCCGTTGCCTCCGGGTTGGGAGGACTGTCAGGATGGTGTCAGCGGCCAGTTGCATTTCACACACGCGGACACGACTGAGGGCCGACGGGACCACCCAGCAGCCGGCCTTGGCCTCGGGCCAGTTACCTCCCTCCGTCGCCGCCGCCCCCGTCCGCCCCACCTGCCGGCGGGCGGCCGAGCGCGGCCCCGCCTTGGCGCCCCCCGCCAGCCGCCGCGCCGCCCGCTGCGCGCCTCGGCACGCCCTTGGCGGGCCCGCCGCCGCCCGCTGCCCCGCCGCAGCCGCCGCCTCCCGCCAGCCCTTGGCGGACCCTCTGCCGCCCGCGGCGCTGCTAGTCGTGGTGGTGGTCCTGCAAGTCGCCGTCGCGGTGGTGGCGGTGCTGTTGGTGGCGCTGCAAGTCGCCGTCGTCGTGGTGGTGCTGGTCGTCGTCGTGGTTGTGGTGGCGGTGCTGGTGGCGGTGCTGCTTGTCGCCGTGGTGGTGGTAGTAGTGCTGGTCGCCGTCGTGCTTGTGGTGGTGTTGCTGGTCGCCGTCTTGGTGGTGGTGCTCTTGGTCGCCGTCGCAGTGGTGGCGGCGGTGGGGGTGCTGGCAGTAGTGCTGCTGGTCGCCGTGGTGGTGGTGGTGGTGGTGGTTCTGGCCGCCTCCGAGGTGCCAGTAGTCGCCGTCGCGGCGGCGATGCTGGTCGCCAGCGTGGGGCTCGTAGTCGTCGCCGTGGCAGCGGTGCTGCTGGTGGCGGGGCTGCTGCTCGCTGTCGGGGTGGTGGGGCTGCTGGTCGTTGTGGTGGTGGTGGTCGTTGTCGTGGTGGCGGTGCTGGTGGTGGTGGTGCTAGTGGTGGTGGTGCTGGTGGTGGTGGTGGTGGTGCTGGTCGTCGTCGTCGTCGTTGTCGTCGTCGTCGTCGTCGTCGTCGTCGTCGTCGTCGTCGTCGTTGTCGTCGTCGTCGTCGTCGTCGTCGTCGTCGTCGTGATCGTCGTTGTCGGGGCGGTAGCGCTGCTGGTCGCTGTAGTGCTGCTGCTGGTCGTCGTGGTCGCCGTCGTCGTCGTCGTCGTCGCCGCCGCCGCCGCCGCCGTCGTCGTCGTCGTCGTCGTCGTCGTCGTCGTCGTCGTCGTCGTCGTCGTCGTCGTCGTCGTCGTCGTCGTCGTCGTCGTCGTCGTCGTCGTCGTTGCTGGCCGCCGTCGTGTTGATAGTAGTGCTGCTGGCCGACGTTGCGATTGTGGTGCTGCTGGTCGCCGATACGGTGCTTTGGCCGCAGTCGTGGCGCTGGCGGTGCCGGTGGTCCGGTGGTCCTGCTGGTCGCCGTCGCGGTGGCGCTCCTGGTCAAAATCGTGGTGCCGCTGGTCGCCGTCGTCGTGGCGGTGGTGCTGGTGCTGGTTGCAGTCGTGGCGCTGTCGCTGCTGCTGGTCGTCGTTGTGCTGGTGGCGCCTCTTGTGGTGGTCATGGTGCTGCTGATCGTCGTCGTCGTGGTGGTGGTGCTGGTCGCGGTCGTGGTGGTGACAGGTGGTGGTGTTGGGCGTCGTGGTGGTGCTTCTAGTCGCCGTGGTGGTGCTTGTCGTCGTCGTGGTGGCGCTGCTGGTCGTATGTGTTGCTGCTCTCGGCGCTGCCGTTGGGAGTCGTCGCGCCTCTTGTGGTCGAAGTTGTTGCTGCGTTGCTCCTGTGGGCTTGCTGCGCGGGGACCGCAGCGGAGCCGCGCGAACCCCGATGGGGAACTGGCCCCAGAGGAGTCCGACCGTGGGAATGGGGCTCTTCCCCTCGGGGGCTCGGGCTTGGCGCCAGCCCTTTCCTTCTGAAGGGGCTGGGGGGCTGGCGGCCAGACGGCTGGAGTGGCCGTCTGGGGTGGCGGAGGGCCTTGCTGATTGCCGTCGTCCTGGCCGCTGTCAGGATTCCTGCTGTTGCAACTGCTGCTGCTGCTGCTGCTGCTGCTGCTGCTGCTGCTGCTGCTGCTGCTGCTGCTGCTGCAGCTGCAGCTGCTGCTGCTGCTGCTGCTGCTGTTGCTGCTGCTGCTGCTGCTGCTGCTGCTGTTGCTGTTGCTGTTGGTCGCGCTGGCGGTGGTGGCGCTGGTCGCTGGCGTGGTTGGGTTGTTGGTGCTGTGGTTGGTTGTTCGCAGGGCGGTGCTGCTGGTGGCGCCTTCGCTGGTGGCCGTCGTTGCGGTGGTACTGCTGGTGCTGCTGGTCGTCGTGAAGGTGTGTACTCTCCCTCGCCGAGTCCTCGTCGTTTTTCTGTCGTTCAAGGCTCCGTGGCGGCGGGGGCTCGGGCGTGGGGCCCGCCGGCAGGCGCGCGGCATCCCGTCCCACGCCCTGGAGGTGGGTGGGGCCCGCAGGCGGGTGCGCGGCAGCCCCGTCCCACCTCCCGCTCTTGTTCCGCTCCGCGAGCTTGCGCTTTGCTGCGCTCCTGGCTGTCCGCAAGTCTCTCTGGCCCTTGGAGTGGTGGCCCGGGCGTGGGGCCCGCAGGCAGGTGCGCGGAAGCCCCGGGGTCCCACGCCTGGAAGGTGTGGCCCGTAGGCGGGTGCGTGGCAGCCCCGTCCCACCTCCCGCCCCCGCTCCACTGGGCTCCTTGCTCCGTGGTGGTGGTGGTGGTGGTGGTGGTGGTGGTGGTGGTGGCGGTGGTGGTGGTGCTGGTTGTGGTTGTGGTGGTGGTGGTGTACGTGGTGCTGCTGGTTGTGGTAGCGCTGCTGCCGTGGTGGTGGTGCTGCTGGTTGTGGTGTTGCTGGGCGGCGTGGCGGCGGTGTCGGTGTGTGGAATCGTGGTTGCAGTGCTGCTGGTTGAGATAGTGGTTTTGCTGGCGTCATTTGCCGCTGCCTCGCGGTGGCGGTGGTGTTTCGCGCTCCCGGCCTCGCCGGGGGCCACCCCCCTCAGGGGCGCGCCGCCCTGGGGCTCGGGATGTGCGCCTCTGTATGGCGCGCGTCCGCCATGACGTCCTGCAGCCAGGGCTCGTCGCCGTCGCAGGCGGGGCCGTCCAGAGGCAGGTGCAGCAGGGAGGCTGCGAAGGCCCGCTGCGCCACCGAGGCGAGGCCTGTCCACTGCCTTTACCGAGGCGCGCAGTAGCTCCGGCGCGGACCGGGCTTTGCAGTCTGCCGACAGGGGCGCGAACTGGAGGGCCTCCTGCGACCACTGGCCCCCTGCCCCCAGGGCCACGACCACGAGCTGGCAGCGCCTCGCGTCCAGGAGCTCTGGGTACGTGCTTCCCTTGCGCCTGCGGAGCTCGCGAAGACACACCTCGTCCTCATCTGCCGCTCGCGGGTGGGCCGCGCCGTCCCAGCCCAAAGGGCAGACCAGCGTGGCGTCCACGGCAAGCTTTGCCCTTCTCCAAGCCGCAGGCAGTTTGCGATCACCTCGAGCCGCCTGCCGCCGCCCGCGCCGACGCCGTCGACGTGCAGGTCCTGCAGGAACTGGTTCTCCGCCACTCTCGCACCCGCCTCGCGGCAGCTGCGGGCCGCCGCCTTCTCCAGGGCCCCCTTCCCTTTCCGGAGGACGCCGGCTGTGGGGCAGGCCGCCCTGTCGTCCCCTCTGCTGTCGAGTCGCGCTCGGCACCTGCGCGCGCTTGCCGTGAATGGTAAGTCAAGGCGCAGGCGGCGCAGGAGGAGGACGCGCAGCTCCGCGGGTGGTACTCGCGTGGGCTCGCTGGTGGGCGGGGCCGTGGACGCCCGGCCGACGCACGGGCCGCTCTGGGAGCGCAGCAGGGCGCGCGCTGGGGCCTGCATGCGTTGCCTGAGGCCGTCGCTGGCTCGATCGTCTCTTGCTCGGGCCGCCTAGAATTGCCAGCTGTGCGCCGGCTCTCCCATCTCCCTGTTGTGCGTGGGTGGGTGGCGCGCTCCCCGCGCCAGAGCCGCCCAGGTGGGCGCCTCGAAGCTTTCCAGTGCCAGCTGGCGCCGCGGGGGCCTGGCCACTCCTGCTTGAAGGGCCCGGCAGATGTCCGCTGTGATAGCCGGAGCCCGCTCGTGCAGCATCGGCGGGCCGTCGGCCCAGGAGGCCCACTACGCCGCAGGCGCAAGGCGGACAGCGAGCGCAGCGCAGGCCTGAGCCACCGAGGCACAGCAGCAGTTGCGCGACCTCCCTGGCTCTCTCTCCGGTGGCCAACTGATCCCCAGGGGCGCCCAGGAGGTCCTGACGCCGCGTAAGTGTCGCCCAAAAGTGCCAGGAGGCGCTCCCCCGGTAGTGAGTGGGCCTGTCGCTCTTGTGGGGCAGGGTGTTGGCCCCGGGCGAACAGCGCGGGCATCCGGGGATCGCCCTGCTCACTGCCGTCTGCCTGCTCCACTACGTGGGCGTCCCCGTGCTGGTCGGTTGAGCGTGGCCCGTGGAGCATTCTGCACAAGGGTAGCGCCGCTTGCGGCTGGGAAGCCCAAGGCCGTCTATTGACGGCGCTGTCGCCTCTTGGGTTTGCCTGCGTCGAGTTCTGGAGGAGATATGCCGCGCATTCTGTGCCCGCCCGGATTGGCAACAACAAAATATTGAAATTTGCCTTTGCCCACTCGGTGCGCCACGAGGAACCACAGTCGTTCCAGACGCCGCACCGAGAAGAGGGAGAGCGAACAGAGAGGCACACGCCTACCACGAACATGCCGAGACCATGCGGCAGCAGGAATCTTTCTCCAGGCGGCAGGCCTACCTTGAGGACCGGTTCTACCTGAGGCGGCACGCGACGCGGGGCAGCGTACAAATCGAAGAGCGAACCACCACGCAGCCCGACTACCAAGCTCACAACACCACCGACCACGACTCATCCACACCAAGCACGCGAGACTGCATCCAAAAGCTCCTGCGCGCGCCCCTCGAACCCAACACGAGACCGGACTACACAAACGAGGGCGCAACGGCCGTCATGATGCAGGCCGGGGTGGGGGCGCTGGAGACGGACAGCCCGACCCTGCAGCCGAGCGCACGCCAACGCGCCCGCCAGCGGAAGAGGAACGCTGCCGAGCCAACGCCGGCAAGGGGACCGCAGAGCGTTGCCAACACGAGGATGCCACTTCCGTCCAGTGGCAGCCCACGATGCTACCACCACGTCCTGCCCGCGCCGGGCCGACAAGGGCAACGCAGAACTGCAGCTACCGCCAAGGCCCTTCCGCCACCCTTGCTCACACCGGCAGCCACGCAGCTCCCAGAAACGGGAGCCACCGCTTCTACCTGGCGCGCAAAGGCGACGAGGGCAAGCCCTCGCACCAGAGCCGCGCGCAAACGGGCGGCCGCAGCAGGAGAAGCAGCAGAAAGCACCTTGCACCAGCAGGGCGACCACCGCGACCACCAACACCACGCGCAGCAACACCAGCGCGACGAGGAGCACCGCAGCGGCAACAACGCCCACGACTGCGACCAGCACCACGCGCAAGAACACCAGCGCACAGCACAACGCAGCGACCAAGACCACCACGACGTGCACCACCACGAGCAGCAGCACCAGCGCAATCCCTCCAAAAGCCGCCGCGACGCGCGATGGGGTTACCGAGGCGTTCGAGTGGGCGAGGCCAGCCACCCAGGACCTCCAGACGCACCCGGGGACAGCCCCCGAACACCGCGCCCGAGACACACGACGTCACCACCAGAGTCGCCAGAGCACGCACCCGGCGGCGCGGCGCCAATCCCGTCGCAGGAAGAGACCCCACCACGGGCTCTGCTCTGGCTACAAGCCGCAGGGTTTCAGCTTGGCGCGCCAGCCGTGCCGGACCACTTTGGCGCCGTCTTCGGGAGGGCGCCAGAAGGCGGATGGAATTTTGCGGGCGTATTCGCTCCGCACGGCGACAGGCAGGGCGAGGCAGCAGAAGCGGCAGCAACAGCGCGGGAGGAGCCAGACCGATCACCAGCGCCGGCAGAAGACGCCAACATCTGCGTCGTCTGCCAGGAAGTGATCCCGCACCATGGGGCGGGCAGGGACACACCAACACAGGAGGCATGCTGTGCCGCCACTTCCACTTGGGCTGCCGCGCCGACTTGGCCCGCCACCTTGGCGAAGCCACTTGCCCGCAGTGCCGAGCCAGACTCCCGACCACCGCCGAGTTACGGGCATGGTGCGCCGCGCAGGGCGTGGACAGAGACCGACCGCCGCCCCCGGCCCACGACACCAGCGCCCAGGCCGTCGCAGATTACAATGGGTTTCGAAGCTACGCGCGAGGCGAAGAACCACCACCACGGGAGCCACCGCTGCTCCGAGCGCTCTGCTGCCGACGCCTCGGCCCACCGCCCGAATTCTCCGAAGTGCCAGACCGCCGCATGGAATGGTCCCCGGAGATCGCTGCACGCGACACCAACGGGATGATCACGCAGTGGCTTGAGTCATGGCTTTGCCCACGCTGCGGGGCGCGCTGCGCCGTCGACACGATCGCGCCACAGAGCGGCCAACAGATGTGCGCGAGGTGCCTAAGAGCAGGGCACGTGGACCGCGGAAGCCAGCACGGCCGAAGGCGAATGGAGGTGCGCTTTGTGCGAACCAGACGCATGGACCAGAGACGTGCCTTCTGCCCCACCACCGGCCCCGCCAGGTCCAGAGCCATCACCACCAGCCCCCCCGCCAGGGCCAGAGCGAGCCGCCGCGAGGCCGCCACAACACAGCCCTTTCGCCGGCTGGGCCCCACCGCAAGCGCCCCTCCAGGCACGCACCAACTCGGCAGTGTACGTGCCCCTGCTGCTAGCAGCCGCCGGGCTTTTAGACCCAAGCGAAGGGGCGCAGTGGAGTGAGCACCGCCTCACACAGGCCTGGTGGCAGCCGACGGTAGAGACGTTGCGGCTTGCAGAACCTGTACTAACAGGGCCCTTTGTCCAAATGCTGGCGTACACCGACGCTCGGCCCGGGGAAGTGCCAGCGGTGCTTGCTGCAGACGGAGGAGAGCGCCCAGGGCACGTATCCTTTGCGCCAGTCGTCCAGGCCGTGGCGCACAGCAGCACCGGCTACATACAGCCGCTGGTGCAAGACCTCCTCCTCGAAGCCTTCGGCGGCGGCGTGCTTGCACGAGGAGTTGACGCACGCACAAACGAGCTGCGCAACCCAAGCTTCTGGGCAGACGCGGCGCCTCCGCCGCCGCTCCCACCGCCAGAGGCGCCCCAGGAGCCGGAGCTGCCTGGAGACCAGCACGCGAACGGCCCTGCCGCCGTGGTGGGCAGAGGCGCTCCCAGAGACAGAAGCGGAAGAGGCGCCAGAGAAAGCAGACGAGGAAGAGGCGTCAGAAGAGGCCGAGGCGGCGGAGAAGGGGGAGGAGGAGGCCCGAGCAGCGGCAGCGACGGCGGAAACACGGGCGCGGAGGAGGGAGACGCCAACGACGGCGGCAGCAACTCCAGCACTGAGGAGACCGACCACGAGGCCGAACCAGCGCAGGCCCCAGCCCCGAGCAACGGACCCACCGAAGAGTCCTGGGCAGCTCTCGGGGGCATCGACCTCCAACAAGAGCTCCGGAGATTCGTGCCGACACTACAGAACGTGCCACGTTTCCTGCGCGCGGAGACCCGGATGGCGTTCACCACGGCCCTGAAGAGGATCAAGCGAGGACACGACCAGGGCAACCAAGCAACAACCCACCAAGGATGGACACTGTTCCTCCTCGCCTCGAGGCTCCTGCTAAGCAAGCCCAAGGGTACCGACGCCGAGGGCCGACAAGAGCTCCTGGAACGCGCCCAACGGTTCCGCCAGGGCGACTGGCTGGCCCTGCTACACGAGGCCAACACCACGGCCGGCGCGCGCGCAGCGCCGAGGCCAGCCACAGAGGAGCAACAGCAGGAGAGACGCAGAGAACAGGCTTGCGCGCACGTCCGAAACGGCAACCCGTCACGGGGGAGACAGGTCTTGACCGCGGCGGCGATTGCGCCCGGCAACGGGGAGACACTAAACAGGCTGCGGGACCCGGCCCGCCGACCGCCTACCCTGAGCCGCCGACTACCCGCCAACCTCGACCGCGCAACCGACAGAGCGAGACTCGACAAGACCAAGTTCCTCGCCTGCCTCCGGTCCGCCAAAAAGGGCACGGCAGCAGGACCGTCGGGGGTCCGCGTTGAGCACCTCAAGCCGCTGCTGGAACACGAAGAGTCCATGGACCTGCTTGGATTCGCCGCTGCTGCCCTCGCGGAGGCGCGGGTGCCCTCCCCGATTGCCCGCGCTCTAGCCCTCTGCAAGATGACGGCGCTCCAGAAACCAGACAACGGAGTACGGGGCATCGCCACCGGCGACGTTTTCCGCCGACTGGTCACCAGGGCGCTCGCTCAACAGTTCGCCGAGCAGTTCGCGGCCGCAACTGCGCCCTTCCAGTTCGCCCTGACGACGCGGGCAGGAACCGACTGCGCCGCCATGCTGCTGAGGTCAGTGCTGGACCACGACGACGACGCAGTGATTGTCAGCATCGATGGAGTCGGGGCTTTCGACCATGTGTCGAGGTCGGCCTTCTTCCAGGAGCTCCTTGCTCGCCCAGAGCTGGCCGGCTTAATCCCCTTCGTGAAGATGTGGTACGGGCAAGACTCCACCTACCTCTGGCAAGACGAAATGGGGACTGTGCACGACGTGCACCAGGGAGAGGGAGTCGAGCAGGGGGACGCGCTGGCCCCAGCCCTCTTCGCTCTTGCCCTGCACGGAGCGCTGGCGGGCGCCTCCAGGACCCTAGAGCAAGGGGGCTTCCTAGTCGCTTTCTTGGACGACGTGTACATCAAGACCACCCGGGCCAGGGCCAGAGCCGCTTTCGACACCACCACCGGAGCAATTCACATCCACGCAAACGTGGATTGCCACCTTGGCAAGTGCCGGCCGGGCCTACAGCAGGGGCGGAGGCGCAGCGCCGCTCGGAATTGGCGAGCTGGGACAAGACGTCTGGAGGGGTGACAGAGCACCACCCGACCGAGGAATCAAGATCCTTGGCGCCCCCCTAGGCACCCCAGAGTTCGTCGCCGCACACCTGGAGAGCAGACTACAGGAAGAGAGGAGACTCCTGGACGAACTGGCGCACCTGCCCGACCTACAGTGCGCTTGGCTCCTCCTCCTCCTTTGCGCCTCCCCGCGGGCCAACCACCTGCTGCGAACCCTGCCGCCAGAGGAAATCGCAGAATACGCGAGAGGCCACGACGGCGACATGTGGGCCACCCTGCGCCGCCTCCTGGGGGACCCCGCAATGTCGCAAGACGAAGAGCGACGGGCGCGCGCACTGGCAGCAATGCCTGGACGACACGGAGGACTCGGGCTCCAAAGCGCCGCGCGCACGTCCCCAGCGGCCTACTGGGGCGCTTGGGCAGACGCCCTACACATGCTCCACCAACGGCGCCCCGTTGAAGCTGCAGCGATCAGGGACCTCCTCGACGGCACCAGGCCCGGCCGTAGGGGCAACCTTGCCGCAGCCGCCGCGGCCGCACAGCTGCTAGAAACCGAAGGCTTCGGAGACCTTCCTGGACCGACCTGCTCCAGGGGCTGCGCCCAGAAGCGCCGCCGCGCTCGGAGGCCGCCGAACCGGGGGAATGGCAGCACGGCTGGCAGTTCCACGCATGTTCCGCACGCAACACACACTACAGGGACAACGTGTTCATGCCCAGCCTCACCAGGGCCAACCAGGCCATGCTAAGGTCAGGCTCAGGACCGAGGGCCGCCTACTGGCTTCACACCTTACCCACCACCGAGGGGCACGTGTTCAAGCCCGCGCGGTTCCTGGCAGCCCTGCGCCGGCGCCTCAGGCTCCCGCTGCCGCTCCTCCCGCACACCTGCGGGGCAGCCGGCCACCCAGGCTGCCGGGCCCGGCTGGACACGCTGGGAGACCACCTAGCCGCGTGCCCACGCACGGGGCTTCTCGCCAGACGCGCGAAACCGCTCGAACGAGCTTGGGCGAGGGTCGCCAGAGAAGCAGGAGGGAGAGTTGTCCCCCAACAGCTGCTGCGGGACACTAACGCCGTTGTCCACAACCCGCTGGACCGCAGGCAAGTAGACCTAGTCGTTTACGGCATCTCGCCGAACGGCGTCCCGCTGTGCTGCGACAGCACCATGGTGTCCCCCCTCCGCAGGGACGGCTGGCACCGGCCGCGCACCTTCGACACCGACGGCGCCGCGCTACTTGGGGCCGAAAGGCGCAAACGACGCAGGTACCACGAACTCACGACCGGCCATTCAGGCCGCCTCATGGTCCTCTCCTGCGAGGTCGGAGGCAGGTGGGGCCGCGATTCCCTCCAGCTGGTACGCCTGCTTGCCAAGCAGAAGGCGCGGGCCGCGCCGGCCCTCCTCCGCCGCTCCGCGGAGCTCGCGTACACCAACCGCTGGTGGGGGTTCCTGAGCGTCGCGGCCCAGGACTCGCTCATGGCCACCCTGACGGGCGACGGCTACCTAGCCTTGGGGGGAGCCGCCGGGGAGGACGACCCAGACCTGGCCGAAGTGCTGCTCGCAGACTCCGCCGGCCCACCCGCTAGCCGCCTGCCAGCACGCCCCTGATGCTTGGCGCCGCGGCCAGCACGGCCGCCCCGGGGGGCTCCGACGAGCGCCGGGAGCACCCCCGACACGGCAGCGGGCACCACGAGGAGGTCAGCAGTACCACCACCACCACAACGGCGACCAGCAGCACCATCGCTTCGACTGCGACCCGCAGCAGAACCACCACCAACACCACCACCACGAGAGCGACCCGCAGCACCACCACGACCACGACCAGGAGCACCACGACTGCGACCAGCAGCACCACGACTGCGACCAGCAGCAGCACCACCACGACTACGACCAGCAGCACCACCACCACCACGACCAGCAGCACCGCCAGCACCACCAGCACAAGCAGCACCACCACGACTGCGACCAGCAGCACCACCACGACTACGACCAGCACCACCACGACTGCAACCAGCAGCAGCACCACAACGACCAGCAGCACCACCACCATTACCAGTAGAACCACCAGCACCACCACGACGGCGACC